ACTGCAGCAGCAGCTGCAGCAGCAACAGCAGCAGCAACAGCAGCAGCCGTAGTAACAGCAGCAGCAGCAGCAGGAGCTGTAGCAGAAGCTGCAGTAGCAACAGCAGCAGGAGCTGCAGCAGAAGCAGCAGCAGGAACTGCAGCAGGCGCTACAGCAGAAACTACTTCAACACCAGCAGCAGCAGCAACAACAGCAGCAGCAGCAGCAGCAGCAGCAGCAGCAGGAGCAGCAGCAGCAGGAGCTGCAGCATGAGTGTATATCAAGATTACGATGAAGAGGAGACAAATGGATTGTCTGTTTTACTTTTTGAGGCAGCAGCAACGCATGCAGCTTCTCCCCGCAGCCCCGCAGCAAAAGCAGCAGCAGCAGCAGCAGCAGCAGCAGCAGCAGCAGCAGCAGCACCAGCAGCAGCAGCAGCAGCAGCAACACCAGCAGCAGCAGCAGAGAGGAGACCCCCTGTCCCCCCACTGCGCAGCAGCAGCAGGGGCTTGTCTGTTGATATGCATGCAGCTCGTGGGGCTTCTATTCAGGGTACAGATTCTCTTACAGCAGCAGCAGCAGCAGCAGCAGCAGCAGCAGCAAGAGGAGGGTCTCTGTCTGCACGGGGATTAAGGGCAGCAGGAGACAAACTAGAAGCAGTAAAACGCAAAGCAGCAGCAGCAGCAACAGCAGCAGCAGCAGCAGCAACTGCAGCAGGAGAAAAAAACCTATCTCCTCGATTGCCTCTGCTCAGCAGGATCGGCTCCCCCCGCAGACAGCAGCAGCAGCAGCAGCAGCAGCAGCAGCAGCAGCAGAGTGCATCTCCTGCTTCTCCTGCTGGGAGTGTTGGATCAGTTCTATCAACGAGCCGACAATCCCGTCAGCAGCAGCAGCAGCAGCAGCAGCAGCAGCATGGGGTATACAAAGCAGGGGGCCGCAGCAGCAGCAGCAGCAGCAGCAGCAAGGAGACAGCAGGAGCAAGACAAAGAGGACCCAGAGCACAAAGGGTTGCAGGAGCAGCAGAAGAGATGCGTGGGGATCGACTCAAACTCGATCCCAGGCTGATGGAGGTATTTAGAGAGAAGCAGCAGCAGCAGCAAAGAGCAAAAGAAGACCTAGAAAAGCTATATGATTTACTAAAAAAACAAAACTCTAAGATAGATGATTCTGCTGCTGCTGCTGCTGCTGCTGCTGCTG